AATGGAGTAACTTAGAAAGTGTTGTCTTTCCTATATCTGGAAATATTTAAGCAAAGAATTAACGGCCACAAATCAGGAATGTATGGGTAGGATTTCTGCAATAAATAGAAATTTGGACTTTTTTTTTCCATTCTCCAATCATGTTTTAGAATTTTCAGGTTGGACCTTAAAACTGCAGTCATTGTTTGATTACAGTTCTGAGTGGCAGTTCTGAAGCCTGATTACATGTCAGAGAAGATGTGACCTTAATGTAGACTTCTAACTTTTTTCAAATCTTTGAGATTATAAAGTTCTATGATGTTTAATTAAATAAGGTAATTAAACACTTATTACTATGTCACTAAGGTACTTTTCACATTTTAACATCTCTGAAATCAGGATGTCTCTTCCAATCAGTAGTGTTTTATGATTATAATTGTCAGTGTTTTTTCTCTCTCGGTAATATATAAGTAGTGGTGCTTATCTTTACAAGAGAAGGAAAGGAAACTGTTTCTCATTGTTCTGCTTTGCCAAAAATTCCTAGTTAGAGTCAGTCCAGAGGGGGAGGTGTGTCCATGGTGCACTTCCTAGATGGAAATATGACCTTATCCCCTTTTAACAGATAACATGGTCTGTGGAACAGACCATCAGTTGCTCATATGCAAGTCAAAAGTTGAAGCTGAAGAAAATTAAACAAGTCCACGAGAGCCAAAGTACAACATTGAGTACATCCCACCTGAATTTATGGACCATCTCAAGAATAGATTTGACACACTGAACACTAATGACTGAAGACCAGACAAGTTGTGGGGTGACATCAAGACATCATACATGAAGAAAGCAAAAGGTCTTTAAAAACACACGAAAGAAGGAAAAGACCAAAATGGATGTCAAAACAGACTCTCAAACTTGTTCTTGAATGTAAAATAGCTAAAGCAAATGTAAGAAATGATGAAGTAAAATAGCTGAACAGAAGATTTCAAAGGGTGGCTTGAGAAGACAAAGTAAAATATCATAACGAAATGTGCAAAGACCTAGAGTTAGAAGCTCAAAAGGGGAGAACACACTCAGCATTTCTCAAGCTGAAAGAATTGAAGAAGAAGTTCAAGCCTCAAGTTACAATATTGAAGGATTCTATGGACAAAATATTGAACAATGTACGAAGCATGAAAAGAAGATGGAAGGAATACATAGAGTCACTGTACCAAAAAGAAGTGGTCAACATTCAGCCATTTCAAGAGGTAGCATGTGATTAAAAACCAATGGTATTGAAGGAAGAAGTCCAAGCTGCACTGAAAGCATTGATGAAAAACAAGGCTCCAGGAATTGATGGAATCCCAATTGAGATGTTTCAACAAATGGATGTAACGCTGAAAGTTCTCACTCATCTATGCCAAGAAATATGGAAAACAGCTACTTACCCAACTGACTGGAGAGATCCATATTTGTGCCCATTCCAAAGAAAGGTGATCCAACAGAATGTGGAAATTATTGAACAATATCTTTTTTTTTCCCCATACAAAAATTTATACATACATTGTTATGTGACTCTAATTGCTCTCCCCATACTGTGACAACACACTCCTTTTCACTCCTGATTCCCCATGTCTATTCAACCAGCTCCCGACCCTCTCTGCCTTCCCATCTCACCTCCGGACAGAAGCTGCCCGTTTAGTCACTTGTATCTACTTGAGCTAAGAGGCACACTCCTCACGAGTATCACTTTATGTCCCACAGTCCAGTCTAATCCCTGTCTGAAGAGTTGGCCTTGGAAACTGTTTTAGTTCTGAGCTCATAGAGAATCCAGGGGCCATGCTTTCTGGGGTTCTTCCAGTCTCAGACCACTAAGTCTGGTCTTCTTACGAGAATTTGAGTTCTGCACCCCACCTTTCTCCTGCTCCATCCGGGACTCTCTGTTGTGTTCCCTGTCAGGGCAGTCATTGGTGGTAGCATCTAGTTCTTCTGGTCTCAGGCTGATGAAGTTTCTGGTTTATGTGGCCCTTTCTGTCTCTTGGGCTGATACTTTCCTTGTGTCTTTGGTGATCTTTGTTCTCCTTTACTCCAAGTGGTTGGGACCAATTGATGCATCTTAGATGGCCGCTTGCAAGCTTTTAGGACCCCAGACATCACTCACCAAAGGAGGTTGCAGAACATTTTCTTAATAAGCTTTGTTATGCCAATTGACCTAGATGTCCCCTGAAAGCATGGTCCCCAGACCCCTACCCGTGCTACTCTGTCTCTGAAAGTGTTTGATGAACAATACCTTTAATATCACATGGAAAGAAAATTTTGCTGAAGATAGGGGCTAGAAATTCAGGCTGATTCAGAAGAGGACGTAGAATGAGGGATATCATTGCTGATGTCAGAAGGATCCTGGCTGAAAGCAGAGAATACCAGAAAGATATTTACCTGTGTTTTGTTGACTATGCAAAGGCGTTCGACTGTGTGGATCATAACGAATTATAGATAACATTGTGAAGAATGGGAATTCCAGAACACTTAATTGTGCTCATATGGAACCTGTGCATAGACGAAGAGGCAGTCATTTGAACAGAACAAGGGGATACTGTGTGGTTTAAAATCAGGAAAGGCGTGAATCAGGGTTGTATCCTTTCACCATACCTATTCAGTCTGTATGCTGAGCACATAATCCGATGAGTTGGACTATCTGAAGAAGAATGGGGCATCAGCATTGGAGGAAGTCTCATTAACAACTTGTCATACGCAGATGACATAACCTTGCTTGATGAAAGCGAAGAGTAGTTGAAGCACTTACTGGTGAAGATCAAAGACTACAGCCTTCAGTATAGATTACACCTCAACATAAAGAAAATAAAATTCCTCACAACTGGACCAATAAGCAACATCATGATAAATGAAGAAAATATTGAAGTTTTCAAGGATTTCATTTTACTTGGATCCACAATCAATGCCTATGGAAGTAGCAGTCAAGAAATCAAGTGACATATTGCATTGGGAAGATCTGCTGCAAAAGACCTCTTTAAAGTGGTAAAAGCAAAGATGTCACTTTGAGGACTCAGGTGTGCCTGACCCAAGCCATGATATTTTCAGTCACCTCATATGCATGCGAAAGCTAGACAATGAATAAGGGAGACTGAAGAAGAAATGATGCCTTCGAATTACAGTGTTGGGGAAAATATCGAATATACCATGGATTGCTAAAAGAAAGAACAGGTCTGTCTTGGAAGAAGTACAGCCAGAATGCTTCTTAGAAGCAAGGATGGCAAGAGTTCATCTCACTTACTTTGGACTGTTATCAGGAGGGACCAGTCCCTGGAGAAGGACATCATGCTTGGTAAAGTAGAGCATTAGCGAAGAAGAGGAAGACTCGCAAGGAGATGGACTGACACAGTGGCTGCAACAATGGGCTCAAGCATAACAACAATTGTGAGGATGACGCAGGACCAGGCAGTGTTTCGTTCTCTTGTACATAGGGTCACTATGAGTTGGAACTGGCTCATCAGCATCTAACAACAACAAAACAATAGATAACTTAAATGCTATTTAATGAAAGACTGTGTAATCATTTGTAGAAGACATCTGTTCTTGGGAAGAAATCAGTAACCCATTAACAAACAAAACATTCTTTCAAAAAATATGTATTAGAATCAAATACTTTAAGAGACAGAATAGCAGGGATGGGGGGTCTGGGGACCATGCTTTCAAGTGGCATAACAAAGCTTATTAAGAAAATGTTCTGCAACCTCCTTTGGTGAGTGATGTCTGGGGTCCTAAAAGCTTGCAAGCAGCCATCTAAGATGCATCAATTGGTCCCAACCACTTGGAGTAAAGGAGAACGAAGATCACCAAAGACACAAAGAAAGTATCAGCCCAAGAGACAGAAAGGGGCACATAAACCAGAAACTTCATCAGCCTGAGACCAGAAGAACTAGATGGTGCCCAGCTACCACCAATGAACGTCCTGACAGGGAACACAACAGAGGGTCCCTGATGGAGCAGTAGAAGGATGGGGTGCAGAACTCAAGTTCTAGTGAGAAGACCAGACTTAATGGTCTGACTGAGACTGGAGGCGCCCTGGAAGGCATGGCCCTTGGACTCTCTATCAGCCCAGAACTAAAACAATTTCTGAGGCCAACTCTTCAGACAGGGATTGGACTGGACTGTGGGACATAAAGTGATACTCGTGAAGAGTGTGCCTCTTAGTCAAGTAGACACAAGAGACCAAAGGGGCAGCATCTGTCCAGAGGTGAGATGGGAAGGCTGAGAGAGTTAGGAGCGGGTTGAATGGTCATGGAGAATCGGGCAGAAAGGGAAGAGTGTGCTGTCGCAGAACGGGGTGAGCAATTAGGGTCGCATAACAATATATGCAAAAAAAATTTTTTTTTGTATGGGAGACTAACTGGAAATGTAAACTTCATTTAATTACAACAATAAAAATAAAAATACATGTTAGGTAGTAGAGATGTAGATGTGCACCCAGGAGACACCATGCAGTTGCTACCCATGTGACTGCCCACACTAACAGAGTCCTTTGTCTTTGAGGTATATTAGGCCATTTGCTTGGGAGCCACATGTTATAAAAGAACCCTGTTTTCTATGTGCATAGGATAGAATAATTCTCTTGTTCACTCATTTTTTTGCTAAGTTGACCGTAGTGACCTTTGCATTCATTTTTAGTAGGGTTGTGCTATTGTTCTCAGTTCCTTCTACAATGACTGGGAACAAGAACTGCCCTTTTCTGTTCTTCTAGACGTCCAGGTTCTACCAAAACGAGTCTTGACATGCCCTCTGCGGCATTTTGGATGAAACATAGAATGCAGTGTAGGAGGAAATGGGGAGGGGAGTCCCACCCAATGGAGATTTCTGTGAGAACACAGACACACTTTCTAGACAGGGATTCTGCTGCATACCAGCATGGAGACCACAGGCCTGCTGCCAGGAATGCATGGAAACACACAGTCTGTGCTGGCTCAGATGTCAGGGACGGGGTGCGCTGGTCTTCCGTCTCTCATGGCACTCTTTTCTCCAATCTCTTTCAGTACTTAGGTCAGTTAACTTCCATACCAGGATACCTGAATCCCTCCAGTAGGACTGAAATTCTGCATTTCATAGACAATGCAAAGGTAATCACATCCTCTTAACTCCATGCTGTATCCTTGGCCTACTCCAGCAACCTCCTCTTACCCTTGGCCTTCATATTGGGGATGGACGGTCCAACTTCGTTAGGGTGTAGTTACACCTTGCTCCTGGCCATAAAGAGTGTTCCTCAGTCTGAACTTTATCCACTAGACTTGCTCCGTGTGATTGAGGGCTGTTTCCAAAATTTAAATTTTCAAAATATTCAAACAACATGCTAGAGATCTGAATCTAAAGGAAGTTCTGTAAGAATCTTCCAAATGGTTTGAACACCACAGCCTCCCTGAAGTAGTGTGACTATTGATGGGAACAGCCGTGCTTTATTGTGTAAGCACTGGTCCTGTGACTTACATCCAGCAAGACTACGGGGGTGGTGGCAGGGGGATGTTCCCAGGAGAGGAGCCCTGACCCACAGCACAGCCAGCCCCTGCGTTTCTAATGACCCGTGGATTTTTCCAGAGAGCTCACCAGCTCCCTGGACACCTGACCCAGGAGCATGATGCCGTGATCAGCCTCTCTGCCTACAATGTCAAGCTGGCGTGGAGAGACGGGGAAGACATCATCCTCAGGGTCCCCATCCACGACATTGCCGCTGTCTCCTACGTCCGGGACGATGCGGCACACCTGGTGGTCCTGAAGACAGGTACAGAACTGGAGGGTGGGCTGAAGAGGCAGAAGCAGCCCATGACATTGTCCTGGGAGTAAATCCACAGACTTAATGAAGCTGTGGAGACTGCTTTTATGGCATGAGGATGGGTCCTTGGGGTCTAGTGGGAGAGTGCCCTTGCTTGACAGATGAGATTGGCCCTCCCCTCTGAGGCCGTCCCTGTACAGGCACTCCACAGGAGGCCTTGGCCTAGGAAGTTACCAAGTAACAGCTGAGCCAGATCACTCAGCTCACTCAGCACCTTGTGGGGAATCAGTGAGGAACACGAATGTTGGGGAGTGGTGTCAGCAAGTCACTTTCCTGTCCCTCTGGCTTCCAGCCCTGCTGAAGGTATACGAGAGTCATCCTGCAGTACCCAGGCATAGGGAGAGCGGTGGGCAGGTCCTCACCTTAGCAGTCACTCACCCTTCGCACTGGGAGCAGTGCAGTGAGACTCAGCCCCTCGGGGCGCTCTCGGTCGGCTTGACTTACTTGCCTGATATTTCTTTTGTAGTAGAATCAGAACAAACAGCCTGTCAGCCCACTGAGCATTCGAGTAAAATTTGGCCCCTCAGTTACATAAGAACATTATTTTGTACTCCCTGTCTGCATCTGTTGATGTTTCTAAGGAAAACGGATAACAGACTGTTTTTAAGAGAGAGCGAATGAGCTCCGTAGGAGAACTTCTTGTCGGGCCGGGTGTTAATTCATGGAGAAAGGAGAGGAAAGAGGGCAGTTTAACCAGTGCCCTGCTCCTCCTGGGTCTGAGTTTTGAGGATGGCGTTGCAGCAATGATGTCATCCTGGTCTTGGCCTGAAGCCACCCATTTCAGAAGGGCTGACGGCAGGGAGTCAGTGTCAGTTAGGAGGGTCGGCCTGGCCTTTCTGAGTGCAGAGGGAGAATTGCTTTTTCACTGGAGTTTTACAGTTCACTGGGGATCCAGGGGCTTTTCTGAGAAGCCAAGTCCCTGGTGAGCCTTCTCATTATTACTACTTGAGCCGTGAGGTCTCCAGTGTAGGTGAGCTCTAGAGAACAGCCCACAGAACACGGTCAGCCTGGGAATCTAACGGGCTCAGTGTGTCACACCCCGCAGAGGTCACTCTGGAGTGGCGTATGAGGGTGGTGCTAGCAGTTCCAGCCCCCTTCTTGGTGGTGTGTGTAGCAATTGCTTAGGACCCCCCGCACACATGTACCCTCACCCACACGTGCTCACACGCTCACACTCATGTTCACACGCGCTCATGTGCTAACTCCTGTGCACGTGTTCTCTCACACTTTTGCACACATTCTCACACACATTGTCTCATGTGCACACACACACACTGACACCACCTGCACTGTGATCTGGCACTGCCAAGTGTACAAAAATGGCAACTTAATATTGCTCAAACTAATACAAAGCATTTTACATGAATTATCTCATTTAATTTTCATAGTTAAACCTATAAGACAGATTCTGTTATACACCCATTTTAGGGATGGAGTAACTGAGATCAGATAAAGTGACTTGACAAAGGCCAGAGAGTTAGTAAATGATTTTGAACCAAGTCTGTCTGGCTTCAGAATGCTTGCTTTGTAGCCACTTCCAACCATTCTTCTGACACTGCAGGATAGTTCCTACCGGGGCCCTGGACCTGGGCGTCCTCAGGGACAGAGGACTAAGGAGACTGGCTTCTAGTTGGGGTTCCTGCAGGCGTTTTAGCTTGGTGGGAGGGAGGTTGGGTGGGCTCCCCTCCTTGTTTCTTTGCTAAGTGAGTCTTTCTCAGTGTTAACTGATAGAATGAATTGCTAAGGAAAATGGAAAACAGTTTAAGAGGGAGAGAATGAGCTCCACAGGAGATACTTCCTAGTAGTCTGTGACAAACAGGCCCAGTCTTGTGAGAGAACTTCTGATTGGGAGAATGAGGGTGAGCCTCTGTCGAGGTGGCCAAGCTCTCAGCACAGACCGGCCAGTCAGAGCTGACAACTGTGTGTGCACGTTGCATGCAGGCGTTTCCACGTGCTGACCTGGGGGGCAGTCAGAGCCGCCTGGCACACTGCTGGGCTTGTCTGAGGAGCAGCATCCCAGGGCATAGGCCGCGGCCTCACGTGGGCCTTCCCGCCGCGTGCCACCCTTCCTGCCTGGCCTGGCGGTGCACTGTCCCCTTCATTGCCCTAACTTGAGATGGTGTGTGTTCCCAGCCCAGGACCCCGGCATCTCCCCCAGCCAGAGCCTGTGCGCCGAGAGCTCCCGCGGCCTGGCGTCCGGCTCCCTGTCAGGCAGTGGCGTGGTGCCTGTTGAAGCGTGCTGCTTGGTCGTACTGGCTGCGGAGAGCAAAGTAAGAGTTTGCGGTGCCCCTGCCACCTGCCACTGAGCCCAGGCTGGCCCCAGGCTCTGCCGCCTCTCTGCCCTTCCCGCTGCCTCACTCTCCCCACCTCTACTCTGAGGGTGGGCCCCACACCGTACCTGCTATGAGGAGACTGGGGCAGGAGCTAAGGGCTGGGAGTCAGGGGTTGGGTTTGGGCCCCACCCAGTCCCCCAGCAGCTGTGTAACCTTGGGCTTCATTCAGTAAAGTGAGTTATGGTGACGGCCCCACATGGAATGTCCTCCTAGAGCAGGGCTCTCACCCTCGTCACTTTGGACATTTCCAACCAGATAGTCCTTCATTTGGAAGACAGGCCTGGTGATCTGCTTCTGAAAGGTCACAGCCTTGAAAATCCTATAGGGCAGTTCTACTCTGCACACATGGGGTCGCCATGAGTCAGAATCCACTTGATGGCAGCTAACAAGTCCTTTGTTGTCGGGCTGTCTTGTGACTGTAGGATGTTTTTAGCAGTGTCCCTGGCCTCTATCTGCCAAATGCCGGGAGTGCCCTAGGCGTGACAGCCCAGACTGTCCCCAGACACAGCCACACGTCCCCTGGGGCAGAGTTGCCCAGGGTTGAGAACCTGCTGAAAAGTAGCAAAACTGTTTTATGTTGAGAGCACTGTCCCCACCTGCTGCGATTCTCATGTTCTCTTCTCTTCTCTTTTCACCACGCTGGGGTAGGGGCTGTGGGGAGGGAGTTGACAGTTCAGGGAATGGGAAGAGAGTGTCAGAGAGAGGATTGGGGAGGAAGGTGCTGGCAGGCCAGCTCCCTCACCCTGTGCATCTGCCGCGTGAGTGCGAGGCCACAGCTGGGCCACCTGTCGATCTTAGGTGGGCCCAGGGCAGTCCACTGGGTCTGTGAAGACGCCCCCTTTTGCCAGTAAAAGGCAGAGGGACGTTTGGCTCTGGTGTTTGCACTTTGTTCACGCACTCATTCATCACATCACCCACCTATTCGCTGGGCAATATTCCTGAGCATCTGAGGCAGTTGGGACGCTTGGAAGACGCACACGGAGATGGGGTCTCAGCCCCCCTGGAGATGGATGGTCAGCAGCAGACAGGCCGCGTTGCCCAGAGCCACTGTTCTTCTCTCCCCACCCCTCCAGGGAGCTGCAGAAGAGCTGTGCTCACTGCTCAGCCAAGTCTTCCAGATTGTTTACACCGAGTCCACCATCGACTTTCTGGACAGAGCGATATTTGACGGAGCCTCGACACCCACCCACCACCTTTCCCTGCACAGTGGTATGTCGGGCGAGTGCCTCTCCCCTCTGGGAGCCCCCCCTCCCAGGGCCCTGCCTCTCACAGAGGCCCTGGCCCTCCCAGAAAAGGTGGCTGGAGCAGAGGGCAGCAGAGTGACGTGTTGCCACGTCCTGGGAAGTCCCAGCTGAGTGGCCTGTCTCTCTGACTTCATTGTCCATATTAATCCATAGAGCAATCCAGGTAGAAGCTTCAGAGCTTTCTTAGGCAGTTCTTTTGAGCAGAAAGGACTGGGTGGCTTGATGGCTTCCTGGGATAACCTTGGGGGCTTTGAGCACTTTTTCTGGAACCACAAGTGACTAAAGTCACTTCACCTAACTCAGCACAGACAGAGCAGGAGGGGCTTCAACAGTGGCCATCTCATAGAGTGGATCTGGGTGCTGTCCTGCTCGGCACCCCAGGCCGTGGCTACCCTGCAGTCTGAGGATTGGTTTCAGGATGACACTCAGACAAGGTGGCCTGCTTAGGCTGCCCAGAGGTCTGGGGTGGTGGGTAGGAAAGAGCTGAAAGGACCCCAAAAGGCCCCCTGATGGACTACCTGCCTCCTGAGTGGGCAACGAGATTTCTAGAGCCTTCTCAGTTGTCTGGACAAAATACCCATCCATGGACATGCTCACTTCAGCTAAATCTTTCAAACACTGAGTTAAGTGTATTGATTTTTCAAGAGCATACTTTATTGCGGACTCAGGACTTAGGATGTGTAGAAAAGAAGATGCAGGAAGCAATGCCAGGCTGCTACCTCAGAGCTAACACTTCCTGTGCCCACGGCGCCTTCCTTACTGCATTAACCCCCAGCAATTTTAAAGAGGGGAAATCGAGGCTCCCAGGTCAGTGACTCATGCAAACCAGCGCACCCAGTAAGTAGTGGGTTGTTTACCTAGAGCCACATTTAAATATCCATTTTTGTGTGATTTGTCTGGCCCTTGTGCTTTAAAATTCCCAAAAGCGTCTTTTTTTTTTTTCTTTTAAATAAAATTTTTTACTGAAAGGGATACAGATCTTAAGTGTGCAGTTCGGGAGTTTTCATGATGTGGGCACACTTTAGTGGACTTCTCCTGTGCTGACCTGCCCTCTGTGTGATGGATTGCACACCTCTGCTCACATCGCCCGGGGTCCCCTCCCCACATGGAGAGCCTCTGATTTCTGCCTCGGGCTCTGCTGACTGTCTAGTTTCCTGTGGCTGCTGTCACAGGTCCCCGAAACTGAACAGCTGAAGCAGCACACATTTATTGTCTTACAGTTTTAGGGGCCCAGCATGGGTCTCAAGGGGCCAAAATCAAGGTGTTGGCAGGGCTGTGTTCTTTCTGGAGAGTTCAGAGGAGAACCTGTTTCCCTGCCCTTTCCAGCTTCTACAGGCTGCCGCGTTCCTTGGCTCAGAGCCCTTTCCAGCTTCACAGCCCACAGCGCTGCATCTCTCTGACCCTGCTTCTGTAGACAGCTCTCCCTCTGACTCTCTGACTCCTTCTTGCACATTTAAGGACCCTCGTTTTGGAGTTCCTGGATGGCGCAAATGATTAAGTGCTCAGCTACTACCGTGGTGGTGCAATGGTTAAGATCTATGGCTGCTAACCAAAAGGTTGGCAGTTCAAATCCACCAGGTGCTCCTTGGAAACCCTATGGGGCAGTTCTGCTCTGCCCTCTTGGGTCACTATGAGTTGGAATCCACTCAACGGCAATGGGTTTGGTGTTTTTGGTTTATTAACCAGAAGGTTGGCAGTTTGAACCCACCCAGAGGCACCTCAGAAAGACAGGCCTGGCAGTCTGTTTCCGAAAGTCACAGCCTTGAAAATCGTATGGAGCAGTTCTACTCTGCACACATGGGTCCGTCATGAGTTGGAGTCGACTCCACGGCAACTGGTTGGTGTGCGTGCGTGCGTGCGTGCGTGCACGCGATGACCTTGGGCCCACCCAGATAATCTCCGTAGCTTACGATCAACTGATGAACAACCTTATTTTGTCTGCAGCTTTAAGTCCCCTTTGCCACACAACCTGATATTCACAGGTTCTGGGGATTAGGACACAGGCATCTTTGGCGGCCATTCTTCCAACCACACTTACTTTGTCCCCACTGGGGAAAATGGTCCCTTTTTCTCCCCATTCTCTTCCCTCCAGTGCACCCTGACTCGCCTGCCTCTGTCTTTGTGCTCTCTCACTGCTGATCTCTGCACTTACTGTGTCCTGTCCTCTGGTTCTGACTAGCACTCACAGTGTGTCACGGGTGAGATGTCGTTTGCCGAGCACTTCCTGAGTAACTGCCTGAGCCAGAACTTTTGCCAGTGCTGGGGAGTCTGGGGAATCCTGGGCCTCGTCTCAGCCCTCAGGGAGCCTCTGTGTCCAGGCCGGGGCATCAGGCAAGCTGGCTCTGAGTGCCTTGTGCTCTCACCAGCTGTGTGACCTGGAGCAGGTTACTTAACATCTCTGATTCTCCTCATAGAAAAGAGGGAACTGTGATGGTGCCTGCCTGGGTTACAGGAGACACTGTCAGCAAGCCTGTGTGCCACCACGGCCAGCAGCCTCACCTCCTATGTCAGAATGTGTGTGAACGAGGCCTGGGGTGCGCGTGCACGCCCTGAGTGGTGCTACTCGTGGCTCCTAGCAGGACCGGGTCAGGAGTTTGATGAGTGGATGGTGGCAGGCCCTTCAAAGCCCAGCAGCTGTGGTCACTTCTGTCACCCTGTTTAGTGCTTGGTGATGACTTGACAGGCCTCCCCGCCGTGTAACCGAAAGTCTGTATGTTCACATTTTCCTCACAGATGACTCGTCCACCAAAGTGGACATCAAAGACGCCTACGAGGTCGAGGTTGCCACTTTGTAAGTAGGCCCCCACCCAGCCCAGGTGCTCAGCAGCAGTCACTGTATTGCCAGCATTTCTGGGGCTGCCCTACCCCTGCAGCAGTCAGCTGACCAGTCATACTTCACCCCAAGCCCACGGTCCCCACCCAGTGATGGCTGACTCTCCACACCACGACCTCAACCTGCTCTTGCTCAGAAGCCTCAGCGATTCTGCTCCCTCATGCAGACGCACCTGCCCCAGGCTCCTAGGCCTCCTGTCATCGCGCCTCACCCCGTCCCGCCGGCCCAGCACCTGCAGGGATGATCTTCATGAAAGGCAGACTGGCTTGCCCCAGTCCTCTGCCCAACCCTGCCAGGGCCTCTGCCATCTCCTGAGTAGACCCCTCCGCACGGTGCATACGGCCCGTGTCGTGACCGCAGCCAAGCCCCTCCCCTCGCCTCCTGCCTCCCCCCTGCCCTGGTACATCCCAGACAGCACGTCCAGAGCGTTTGCAGAGTAAAGGAGCCAGGGCCCCGGCCTTACCCTCACGTGTCTATCCTCTGCAGCTCATTCCCTGACCCCACAGACGTGGGCGGCCTCTCATCCTTGTCCTTCTGCATGCCGCCGTCACCCCACCTCAAGACGGCCAGCGAGAGCGAGCTGAGCACCACAGCCACCGAGCTGCTGCAGGACTACATGCTGACGGTATGTCACGCCTCGGCACGTGGGCCATAGACGGCGAGGTCCAGGAGTAATGACTGTGGCTGTGCGTGGGCAAGTGGGGGGCCTCTGCCCCAGCTGGAGGTCCCAAGACCACTGCCCTGCGGGAGGGCCCTGCCCGGGGGACAGTGCTGTTGCCCACAGAAGCCCAAGCACTGGTGTGGTGGGCTCAGAGTGGGTTGGGCCAGGGAGGAGCGTGGGGCTGCCTTCCCTCCGGGTGGGGCAGTGAGGCAGGAAGGCTTGCCTGCGTCTCCGTCATCCTTTCTGCAAACGTTGCTCTCCGTCCCGGTGTGTGCTCTCCTTTGGGGTGCGTGAGCTAGGCCGAGCACGTGGGCAGCCCTCTGGCCTTGGGGCAAGACTGCAAACACACCCCGGGCCTGGGATCGTGTGCTCCCTCGCCAGAAGGGCCTGGATGGCTGTGCACACAGCAACTGCTTCCTCTCTCCACTGAGCTTCAGAGCCCGGTTGTCTTACCTGAGCATGCTGTGCCCTAGAGGGCGTCAGGTGCTGGCTCAGGCACCAAGCCCAGGCTTGGACATGGTCAGCTCAGTGATGCCCCTCGGCTCCCGTCAGGGTTGGCTGGCTCCTCTCCTGGACTGACGGTGGTCAGCATTTTCCAGGTGCTGCAGCTGACTCTCCTCTCAGCTGCTCCATCACACTGAAGCAGAACAGTGTTCCAGAGAACGAGCTCCGTATACATTGTGGGGGTGGGGGAGTGAGCCCCATACACACTGTGGGGGTCGGGGGAGCCTCTGTGCCCGCCTCCTGCTTTCGCAGCCCTGCAGCCCCAGAGGGAGAGCTAGCGTCCCAACAGCTCAGGTGTTCCATGGGGGCCTGGGAGACCAAGGCTCCCGCTGTCTTTCTGGATAGTCCCCCTGGTGCTGTGACGAGGGAGTTTGGGAGGAGGGATGGCGATGGCGCCAGATCTGGCCCCGCGAGCCTTTTCACACTTAAAGTATTTGGTGTCAGTGGCCACGGGCTCTGGCTGGCGTGGGGAGCTCTGGCCCAGGGCTCTAGCAGGGCCACCGCGGGAGCGGTGAGCTGGGGCTGCCACTACCCCCTTTGCCCCCGTTCCCAGCCCCAGCGGCTCTGCTGTCTTGCAGCTGCGCACCAAGCTGTCATCCCAGGAGATCCAGCAGTTCGCCACATTGCTGCATGAGTACCGCAACGGGGCCTCCATCCATGAGTTCTGCATCAACCTGCGACAGCTGTATGGGGACAGCCGCAAGTTCCTGCTGCTGGGTGAGCGTGCGGTGGCTGCCATTAGGTAGCGAGAGATTTAAACCAGAAACTTGCCATCAAAGTGAACACCAAGGGTCCTGGGGGAAATCCCTGTGGTTCTGGCTGGAATAGCTTTTCCCAGTGACTGGGGTGCGCCCACCACAGAAGCGGCACCACGCCCACACCACTCAGTGCCCTCGGACCACAGGGACAAGGCCCTGAGGAGGCAAGGGGGTGCCTGGGCCAGTGGGACAGGCGGTAACCAAAGCCAGCAGTGAAGGGACCAGTGCCAGAAGGAGCCTGTGCTGGCTGCGTGGGGCTGTGGCTGCTCCTGAAGGAGGTGGAGGACTGTGTGGCAGAGCGGGCGGCACGTCTCCAGGTGGCAGGGCTTGGAGCCCAGCATGTGGCCGGGCATTGGACACCTGCGCTGAGCTTTGCCACCTGAGTCAGACACACCTGGTGGGCGGCAGGCAGGCTCCCGCAGGCTAGTTAGCGATAGCTGAAGGCCTCCAGAGTCCAGCCTGTACCCACATCCAGTCTCCCCCGGAGGGCTTCCACTCTCAGGCTGATCATCGTAGGGCCTGAGCGTCCCTGGGGCCAGTCACCGAGGCAGAGCTCAGGCCAGGGCCAGCTCAGACCCTGCTCTGGGATGCGCCCCACCCTGTCCAAGTCACGCTTCTTTTGTCTGAAAAGCCAGAGCACCCCCCTTGCCCTCACAGGGCCTTAAAGCATGTGAAGTGTGTCCGAGGACTCCATAAGCTCCTGTCTGTTAAGCTGGGCCCTCTCAGGGCTGAGGTCTGGGACGAAGCTGCGAAGAAGCTTAGTGTGGAGGGTCTGCATCCCCACCCCTCCCAGTCTGTGGGCACAGAGAGGGGCACAGCCTCAGTCAGGAATCTCGCCTTTGGTCTTTGGTTACTGTCATAGCACTTGTCCAACAGACAGGGGCAGGCCTGGCGTGCAGCTCACTGACCCGAGCCCAGCTCTGCCCTCCTGCACCTGCGTGAAGTGGGCTTCTCTGAGGCTGGGAAGGCTGAGGGCCTCGGGATGCCCACCGTGCCAGCCTGTTGATCTCGTCAGCCCCAGTTACACGAGTGTCCCAGACATAGTATGGGGCAGGCCAGTCCTCCAGGCCAGCGCGCCCCCAAGGGCAGCTGTTGCTGGGAGGGGCCTGGCTGTCTGTTTGGATGGGGTTGTGACAGTCGTGTCTCTGCCAGGTTTGCGGCCCTTCATCCCTGAGAAGGACAGCCAGCACTTTGAGAACTTCCTGGAGACTATTGGGGTGAAGGACGGCAGGGGCATCATCACAGATAGCTTTGGCAGGTACCGGCGGGCCGCCAGCACTGCCTCCAGCTCCACCACCAACGGGAACAGGGCCGCGGGCAGCTCTGACGACCAGTCCTTGCCCTCGGAGGGAGACGAGTGGGACCGTATGATCTCGGACATCAGCAATGACATCGAGGCACTGGGCTGCAGCATGGACCAGGACTCTGCGTGATGCACCCTCGGGGACAGGGCTGCCGGGGTGGCAGGAGAAGGCAGAGCTGGCCCTTCTTCCCATGGCCGTCCCAGCCGCCCTCCACCATTGGCTTCTCCTCCGGGAGCTGGAGGCTGGAGAGAGCAGCCAGGCCCTGGCACGCTGCCCCTGTGCAGGAGCCCTGTCCCTGCCATCCCTGCGTGCACAGCAGCCATGCGTGGGGCTGGGGCAGAGGCTGACACACCATTCTCCGGCGGCCACTCCTGCATCCAGTGTCCATCCAGGGAGGGACGGGCTGGGCCAGCTCCGAGAACCGGCGGCTGTCGGTCACGCCCTGCACAAGTTTCCGTTTTGCACATGTTCCTATTGTAACTCTCAGAGACCTTAAAAAAAGTTGGCTACAATGTGAATCATTTAAATCTGTTGTTGCCAAGCATATTTCTCGTCCAGTTGGGTAGACGAGCGTTGTGGAGCGGGGGTCCTCCAGGCAGGGTCCAGCCCTGGGCATCCATCCTGGGGCCGACCCTGCCTACTGCTGCCCTGGCGGGGCTGCACCTGGGCTGTGCCAGGCAGGCTCTCCTCCCAAACGATGGACCGGACCTTGCGGGTAGGAAGCAGGTGGGAGGAAGGGCCCCGTGCTCCACTGGCGACCCGACCCCATGTGTGGCTTTCACATGTTCTCTCCTGGCCTGTGCTGTGCCCCTGGCAGCATGCTGTCACTGCTGAAGAGCTACTGGGCCTTGCCCACTCCACCCTTCCCTGGGGCCAAGGCCCAGACAGCACCCACCACCTTCCTGTTCAAGCAGGCCTCCTCCTCCAGAGCCTCCCTGACTCCCTCCTTCCGGCCCCTCCTCCTCACTGCACAGAGGTGCTCTGCCTAGGTGCTGTATGCCCTGCGGCTGTGCACGTGCTTGCTGGGCCTCCATCCATGCTGACCAGCCCTGGGCCAAGGTGGACCATGCGTCCCCCACCGAGCTCTCCTCCGATGGACCCTGGTCACTGCTCCTGCTGCTTGCACAAGCCCTCATTCCCCTAATGTATGCCTTTCCTAGCATCTCCCCAGTGCACATCCTGGACCCCCAGCTGGCTAGAATCGCCCGCCCAGGGACCTTGTCTCTGAGCCGAGTGTTGTGTCTCAGAAGCCAAAGGTGGCAGGCCCTGGGCCTGGCTCCTCCACCCACGCTCTCCGCACCCCAGAAGCAGTGAGCCGTCTCTCTCCTGAGCCCACCAGCGTTTGCTCTGCCTGTACTCAGTCCATCTGTGACCTTTAGCCAGTGGACATCTTTGCTGGGACACAGTCCATCTGGTCAGGATGTCCGTGTCCACCCCTGAGCCTCAACACCTGAGCGGGAAGATGGGGATGGGGGTACACAGAAAGCTCCCTCTCTGGACTTGCCCTCTCTACCAGAGCTCCTCTGGCTGCCTGTGCGCCGGATCAGGGATGCTCACGCTGGGCTGCACCAGGGGCAAGTCTCTTCCTCAAGCTCCGTCCAGAGCAGAAGTGGATGACAGTACGTGTGTTATCAGTTTCAGGGCAGTTTCAAGGCAGGAGGGACGCTCAGACCCCCAGAACAACAGGGTTTTGTTGGGGAGACATCTTACTCTCTGTCCTGATGGGTTACAGGACCCCAGGCCCAGCCAGGGAAAAGCCAAGGTGAATACTTTGTTTTGGGTACTGTCTCTAGATTTACATGTGAATGGACTCTGCCCTGGAAACATCTGGAAGCCCCCAGACCTAAAGCCCCTTGGGCCCTGGGACCCAGTGGGAAAGCCCCCTGCACCCTCCCAGGCCCGAGACCAAAGTTCACGCTGGGCTATTATTGGGGCCGCAGCAGTAGCCCGTGAGTGTTAGTGATGCTGAGTGCCCACCACCCCAGGACGCAGCCCCACACTGCAGGTCACAGGCCTGGCTTACAGGAAAGAAGGCAGCCCAAGGAGAGAACGCAGAAGAACCTGTGCAGAAGGGCCTGGGGGGGGCATTTAATTGCTTGGCCTTGCTGAGAGCAAAAGACTATCTCATGCAGTTTTTCCAGCTTGTGATGCCCCTATTGACACCTTCCTAAGTCCACTGCTTCTGGAGAGTTCCTTCCAGAAACTCTGTCCCCGAAATACCTCTTCTCTGGGATACACAGCCCACTTCTTCAGCCATGTAGCCTGACCTCATAGCCCTGCTCGGCGAGTTGGCCACCTTTGGCATGCAGGTGGAGGGCGACCACCGCCCTCCATGTGGATAGTGAGGCTCCATGACCACGTGGAAGCAGAGACAGCACTGAGGGGTACAGGTTTATTGAGCAGCAGTGCTGGGCGGGGAGAGGGCAGGGGGGGGTGGCTGGGAGGGATGGACATCCGGTGGCTACATTGTCAGCTCCTGCAGGAAATAGAGAGAGGTGTTAGGTGGGGGGAAAGGGAGCCCCAAAGGCAATGGCAGGACCTTCCACCAGGCCCTTGGGAAGGCAGGTGGGGCCTTTGGGCTAGAGCAGCTAGGGACATGGTCCTGCCACCTCTGGAGTGGTCCAGCTGGCCGCTCACCATGATGGCGTTGACGATGTCACTGTGGTTGTCCCTCAGGGCTCGTACAGCCTTGGCCCTGGACACATTGGCCTGGGCCATCACCAGCTCAATGTCCCGAAGCTCCAGCCCAGTCTCGTCCACCTGTGGGAAGGAGCAGGCAGTTGGTGGCAGGAAGCCACTGAGCCACCGAGGCAGAGCCCAGTTGCACCCTACAGCCTCACCTCCTCCTCTTCCTCCTCCTCCTCCTCCTGGCACTCCGGTGTCACCCGCAGCCCTGGAGCCGACTCGGAGGCGCGGGTCGAGGGCTCGGCAGGTACCTTGAACTTCTCCGCTGCGGCTTTGTGCACTTGCTGAGAGAGGTCCTCGATCTACAGGCACACGGGGCACGGGTCAAGCAGCCTGTGCCCGGCTCCCCCACCCCACCCCCCGCCCACCACCGCTAGGACACACTTTAGCCTCGCCGAAGACCACGTAGGTGTCAGAGGCCGGGCTCTTGAAGACGTCAGGCTTGCTGATGACAAAGAGGATGTTCTTGGACTTCTGGATGGTGATCCTGGTGACGCCCTGAATCTGCCTCAAGCCCAGTTTAGACATAGCCTAGGGGGCAGAGGGGGCTGAGACCTCCATCCTCACCCCTGAGCTGGGGGCCAGATGTCAGCCTCTGGCCAAAGGGACAGGCTGAGCCATTCTTCCCTGTCTCTGAGACAAGAGGATTAGACTCGCTCTGTCACGAAGTCCATTTCAGCTCTGACCTTGCGCCACAAGAAGGGGAGGGTCCAATGCTCCAATGCTCCATTTGTCTCCGGGTTCCTGGCATTTACCCAGGGAACCCCTATGGACCGGGCTCCAGAGCGCCCAGCAGTGGTGTGTGAAAGGTGTGCAGAAGGACCACGTCCTTCCTGCAGCCTGGTCCCAGTTGTAAGGGGAGAGCCTTCCCACCCATAGCTGTCTTGCCAGCCCATCCCCTCCTAGCAGAGGGCCCGTGCCGCGTGCACAGGACCCACCTTGCGGGCCTTCTTCTCACTGCGGCTCTGCTTGGCTTTGGTGATGGTCTCTTCACTGCTGCCTACCATCGGGGCCTGGGGACAGGAAAGAGGACTGAGCACTGGTGGGGGGCTGGGGGCCACACCCTCCATCCTTATGGCCCCTTGAAGCTCATCCTCCCTCCACCAGACCAGGGTGCAAGGGTGGGGAGGGCCACCTGTGGTGGGCACTGCGCCGTCAGAGCAGCTGCAAGGTCCTGCTCCTCCGTCTCGGGGGCCGATGACTCCGCATGGCTATCCGAGTGCTGGCCCGAGCCCGGAGCCCGAAGCGAGTCTGGGGAGGAGGAAGCAGTGGGGGCTCAGGCCCAGCCCTGGCTGCAGCCTCAAGGCCAGAAGCAAGGATAACTGGGCCTTGGTCACAGGTAGGCCTGCCCCTCCTGGAGTGTAACACGCTTCTCCTGTGGGGTTCTGCCCCTTCTGGAGTGTGCAGTCTGCCCCTCACCTGTAGGAGTCCACCCCTCCTGGTGTGTGGGGTCCACCCCTCTCCTGTGGGATTCCCTCCAGCTCAGGACAGCAGCACCAACCCTGGGAGGAGCTGGCCACCCCAACGCCCTACTTCCCTCTTACCTTCCTCAAGGCTGTCCTGGTCCTCTTGCTGCTCAGGGGCTGGGAGCCCCAGGGGGCTGGCTGGGGGGCAGGGCCCCGAGCCCGGAGGCACTTGGCAGGGGGCGCAGATATGAGCAGCCAAGGCTTTGGCATGGGCGCCCCCTTTGGGGGCTGCCTTGGGGCTGAGGGGGGGCGAGGGGCATGAGAGGCCAGCCTGCTGCCCAGCCCCAGGAGGCACCAGGTTTCCTGAGACGGCAGCCGCTGCCCACGGAGCATCTGTGCCAAGCCGGTGGAGGCCTGGCAGGCCTGGGGGCCCTTTGTCCCTACAGTCTTCTCTGGGCCCCTGACAAAGGCAAGAGGCAAGGGCTGCAAGGTGGGGAGGGGCTGCCACAGTATGGACACCAGGCGAAGAGGCATCAGGGTGCTGGGACCTGTCCTGGGCCTCAGTGGGTGGGGACCTGTCCTGGGCTTTGGTGGGCAGGGACCTGTCCTGGGCTTCAGTGGGCAGTTCCTGGGCCTCAGGGGGCAAGTCCTGGACCTTGGTGGGCTGGGACCTGTCCTGGGCCTCAGTGGGCAGTTCCTGGGCTTCTGTGGGCAGGGACCTGTCCTGGGCCTTGGTGGGTAGGGACCTGTCCTGGAACTTGGTGGGCAGGTCCTGGGCCTCGGTGGGTGGGGACCTGTCCTGGACCTCGGTGGGCAGGGACCTGTCCTGGACTTTGGTGGGCAGGTCCTGGACCTTGGTGGGTGGGGACCTGCCCTGGGCCTCAATGGGCAGGTCGTGGGCCTCGGTGGGTAGGGACCTGTCCTGGGCCTTCGTGGGCAGTTCCTGGGCCTCAGTGGGTGGGTACCTGTCCTGGACCTTGGTGGGCAGGTTCTGGGCCTCGGTGGGCGGGGACCTGTCCTGGGCCTCAGTGGGCAGGTCCTGGGCCTCAGTATGTGGGGTCCTGTCCTGGGCCTTGGTGGGTGTGAACCTGTCCTGGACCTCGGTGGGTAGGGCCTCTGCCTCAGTGGGCAGATCCTGGGCCTCGGTGGGCGGGGACCTGTCCTGGGCCTCAGTGGGCAGGTCTTGGGCCTCGGTGGGCGGGGACCTG